CGCCCCGCCCACAGCAGCCCCACGCAGCCCTCCAGGAAGAGCCCCAGCAGGGGCCGACCCCAGGGGCTGCCTGCACAGAGCTCCCAGCGCCCCGGGGCCAGGCGCAGGCTCTAAGCACGGGGCTCTCAGCTCGGGGTGGCCTCCCTGGTGCTTCCCGCCGCCGTGCTCCTTGTGCAGGCCAGAATGCTGCCCCAGGCAATGTGCCGCCCCAAGCACCTGCTTGTTTTGCTGGTGCGTAGATCCTGCCCTGGTTGGAGATTGGGGATAAAGGCAGGATTCTTTCCCACAAGGTTTTGAAATCCTCTATGGAATAGCCTGCATTGTAAAAGCTCTTATGTCAATTAAAGACAGGGATTTATCATACAATTTATTATGAATGATTCACCTGTCTTCCCTAAAGGGGAGATAAAGCACTCAGTCGCAGGTCTCCCGGCAGCTTTGTTTTTGCAAAGAGGGGAGAAGAGCCAGCAAGGGGCAGATTTTTCTTTAGAAGAGCTGAGGGGGTCAGTAAGAGAATAGCAACTGGAACACCTCCCCTCCAACTGGATGCTGCTCTCTCTGCTGCCAGAAATGCTGAGAAGCACCTAAAAGCTCCCAAGCAAGACCTCATCTCCTGACTTCATTTCACAGTCCTCTGCCTACTGAATCCTCATAGCACCAGCCAAGGAGGAAGTCAGTGCTCCGACAAGCTAGAGAGATGGTGAAACTTCCCCTCTGCTTTTTACTTTTAAAATCTAGGTACTAGCTTGGATTAGATGAAACCACAGTTAGCACTTTAAAAGCATTAAAAGTACTGACACTTATTATTTCTGTCTCCTAGGTGGTAAAACTGGTACTGGAACAATATGGGCTACCATGGGTCCTTGCAACAGGTCTCCCATTGTGGATCCAATTAACTATGTAATGTGTAGAGACAAAAAACCAATTTTTGTTACTGCATATGATCCAGACGTGTCTCCCTATTCTTATCCTTTCACATTTGATATTTCTGACAAGAGAATGCGTACAGAATGGCGAACAGTACAAAATAACGGTATGCAATATTGTATATTCTTTTTAAAAGTAAGAACATTGATGGTATGAATTGACGGTTTTCTGTATCTTTTCAATATGCAGTTTTGTGTGTGCTTAGACAAATTTGCAATTCGTATTTGGAAATTAATCAAACCATACCAGAGTCACAGAAAACATGTAAACCTTCAGACAGGAAGTAGCAAAGCAAGAAGGAAACTAGTATGACCAAATAGAAAGGTGCAACTTTTTTTAAAACCTAAAAGAGATCCTTTGGAAAATGGCAGTCAAATTCTAGTCAAACCAGTACAAAGGAACTTGGCTGGTAAAAAGTGTGTACATTAAGGAGGACCTAAAAGCAATTCTGAAGAGCAAATAGCCAAATATCTGAAAACAAATAGGAAGATTTTTAAATATGAGAAACAAGAAAACTATAAGCAGTGGTTTGGTTGAACGACAGTGGAGTAAAGGGGACACTTAATTTCTCCCGTCCCAATATTTTCCATTATACATATTTTGGCATAATTCTGCGCCAGATAAAGAAGTTAAGGAATCACCCCAAACTAGGGCCTGACCAGTGTTTCCTTTGTAACCTCCTAGAGTGACTTTTCAGTATAGCCCAGCGTTGCCCCTGGCATGTGCTGCTCTCCTGCATAACTTCCTCCTTCTTTCCAGCCTTGAAACATGTCCTGTTGCCATACATGTATGCAATCCAAAAGCTGTCCCCAGTACTTCATTTTCCTTGGCATTTCAACCATTCCCGCTTCTTCCCCCTTTCTCATCTCTCTGCTTCTCCAGTGAGTCAAACACACAAATTACTTGTCTTCACTTTTAACCTTTTCTGGTCTACCTCACGCTACCTAAAAATCTTATTCATTATTAAGATATCTGGTCTGCCTCCATTCTCCTGATAAGTGTTGTCCTTTGTGCCAGATTCTCCCATGAGTGCATGTGGTGGTCTTTCTCCTGTTCTTGCAAGGAGCTCTCCATAAACATCCCAAAAAACCATTTAATACATAGTACTATATGATAATTCCAAAAATTTGACACTGGTTAGACATTGGGAACAGCATGAAAAGCAATCACATTTTCCTTGAAAGGCATTCGATTTAAAACTAATGAAAAGAAATACACAATAGAAAGTTAACATGAAACCCACAAGATAGTAATGAAGCCAAGAGTTTCTAGGGATTAGAAATTGATGTTAAAAATCCAGTTTCATTAGACAAACTGAAATATTTTAGGAGGACATATATTTTCATGTCTCAGGGAAAAGGCAACCAGTAACTGATGGGAGTTAGGAAAAAACTTCTCTAGTGAACATCTTATTCATTGTTGTGCAATATTGATTTATTGCATCTTGCTGGAAGGCCACTTGCTCCTTAAAGATAAAAAGATACTGAACTAAGACTAGGGTTACCAGGTAGACCCTGCCAAAAAAATGGACACACTTGATCATGGGCGGGGGGAGG